GGACACTACTGTGTTAAGAAAAAAATTTCGATGAATAAAAAATTTTTACAAGAATTGTTTTCATTTTTTTTTAAATATTAATTATAAGAATTTATAACGTTTTAAATCTTTTAAAATTCTGTATTAATTTGTAGCGGCTACTTGATATTGTTATAAAGTAAAAACTATATGTACTAATCATAAATGGGAAAGCTTACTAAAGCGACGCTCCTCCAGTATTTTATAAAGAATTTTGAATTTATTTTATGTATAAATGTGTCGAGTTTTTAAAATACGGATGTCCAAACGTGATATTTCGAGAAAATAAAAGCCGTAACTCTAGTAAAGTTAAAATTTATTGGCAATTTTCTAACATTTCCTCAATAAGCATTTTCATCAGGTAATAAAGCCACAGTACCTAAAATTGAATAAAACATTAGATTGCTTAGAATATTTTCTTCAATTTTTAAGATTACATTACTGGGGAGTTAAAAAAAAATTGTCTAAAAATAGCGTTCACGCTATATTTAAGTAACTATTACAGTTATGTCTCCCATCTCCTCATAAAAATATCCACCTCCGTGTTAAAACAAATGCCTTTCTGCAATATTTTAAACTAAAAGTTAGTAATATTTGTTTCAAATCAGACTAATTAAACTTTAAATCAGCTTATCTTCCTCAAATAAAGCATCAGAAAAATATATTTTATTTTTTAAAGATTTTTTAAATAAAGAGAATTACGTTGTGTTGACAGATTTGCCAATATGGACGATTTTAGCGTGTTTACTACTAATAAACAAACTCATTCCAATCCAATCAATTTAAAAATTCAATTTGAAATACAGCAAGTTATTTTGCTTATTAGAAATTTAAATTTAATCTATTAGCTTGAAATTATAACAAAAAATAAAATATTTAAAGAAAGATTTTCATTCTTAAAATACATTTTCTAACTTTAGATATTGCTTTTCTTTGGAGATACCTACTTAATATTGTTATAGACAAGGCAAAACGAATTGTAATATTGTTAATGTTACTTAGATCATGAGCTTTGGCTTTGTGTCAAAAGGTTACACTAACTAAACAACTCTGGATCAGTAAAAATAAAATTAGTTTAGTATACAAATGTGTTCAATCGTCTCAAGGTGCTCCAAACGTTTGGCCTTATCCCAGACTAAATAAAACTTCGTAATTAATAATTGTGATAAATAATTATAATTATTCTTTTTTCTTGAACTTTCAGTTCTAAAATGTTCAGTTCACATTTATGTTTGTTGAGGTAGATTTATCTATTTTTTAACTGGTTATAAAATCGAGTGATAAATTCTTTGCTATTTTCTTTCCACTTTGTTAAAAAAATATCAACACTAATGACACTAATTTAAACTTTTTTAATTTCATATTTCTCTGTGCAAAGTTTATTAGTAAAATTGTGCTAAACGTCATCCTGGCTGTGGGTATTTTAACCGGAAGTTACAAAGTTATGACGTAATTGATGTAAGCGGAAGTTAGAAAGAGAGCACGTGTTTACAAAACGTAAGTAAATAATTTCAAGTAAAAATTTTACTGTATTTTATTGTTTAATTCTATTTTTGTACATAATTTATTGACCGGTTATATTTACATTTCTTAATATTAACTCTTGTTCAGTTTTATTCATATTATTCTGCGAAAAAAAAAAAAAAAAACAAAACAATCCTGCTGCTAAAAAGTTGTTTTCAATTTACGTTTTGTTTGATTTTCGTTTATCACCTGTTAACTTTGAAATTTACCAATAGGATTTGTATTGGTCAGTCACAATAAGAATTATTATTTGTTATTTAAAAATTAAAATTCTTAATTTTTACTGTAAACAATTTTGTGTGTGGATTTTTACAGTATATTTTTAAAATTTTCTGCTGTTACGATTCGGTTTATATAATCTTTTAAGATTTCAGCATTCGATTTTTATAAAACGTTAGTTATTTTTTTTATAACTGCAAATGAATTTACTATCAATATTTCATTAGAAAACAGGCGTTATTGATGTTTTTCTAGTAAAACTAGTATTTGTTTCAGAATAAAATAAAAGTTGATATCTTTATTTTTAATTTCGAATGAAAAATCAATAACGTAAAAAAATATTGGAATCAAAGTATTAAAGATGAAAATAAAAATATTTGCGATAAAATTGCATCTTGATTCCAACTCTCTTTGAAAAGTAAATTTTAATTCATTTAGTCATTTGTGACTGACGTTATTTTTTTATTGCTGAAATATTCATAAAAAAGAAAAAAAAAAGCAGTCCCTCCTTTAAAAGTAAAACGGGATTCACTGAGTCTGAACATTAACTGAAATTTTTAAAATTTCTCGTCTTTTTTTTTTTTTTTAATAAACCTCGTTCGTTGGGGATGTGCAGAATAAACTATAAAAAAAAAGGCATTTGGTGTAGGATTGAGTTGAATTAGAAGGAAATTTGTTAGGTTGTGTGAACTTTTCTGCATCGACAAACAAATAAACAATTTCAATATAAACAAGACAAAACATACACTCAATTCAACACCAATAAAAGCATTTATATACAAAAATACAATAATATATACAGGGTATTTTTAAGGTTGTTAATGTGTTGGTGTGCTCATGATATTTGTAGTTTTTGTATGTTCCTTTTTATGTCTTGGGTATCAACATTACAGTCTTTTTAGGAAATTGTAATTAATATTTGGAATGTAGGTATTGTGTTTTAGAAATGAGTCATTACGAAGTAGTCTACCTTTGACTGCAAAATGTCGAGTTCGTTCTATGATGTTATTTACTTAAAATAGTAGTGAGTGTCAATTCGCTTTAGATAAGTAAAGTTGTTCGGATAGAAGTTTCATGTGTTCACAGAGTGTTCTTCGATTTGAGCTTTCGAGTGAGTCAGTGAAGATTTAGTTTGCGCGGCAAGATTGCAGTTCTAAGCAACGTGGATTATATTAGCATATCTCTGTGCTCGCTCGACTGACTGACTTATCGTAGATGGTCAAAAAGAATGTATGGTTTAAGATTCTTGAATGACGAAGAAGTTCATAGAAGATATTGAACGGGAAAGATTTGTCGTCTCGAATAGCGAGACGGTAATTAGTCGTCACATTTTTAAGCTTGAGTAAGCAGTCGAAAATTGGTCTGCCTCTCGTGGTCACACATGCTTTGGGTTCTTTTTAAGAGGTCATGATCACGTGGGGTGGCTCCAGAGCGATTTTGTGCCAAAACTTCAAAGTGCACGTGCGGGCGACCTGATTGGTAGAAATGAACCAATCAGAGGGCTAGATTTACGAATGAAAGTTGGAATAGTGCATTACTCAAAGAAGGTAAGATCGGGCTAATAGACAAGTCCAATAACCTGAATTCATGGCATATGCAAAAGGTTGTTTACTTCAGCTTTAAAAATATTAGAATTGTTAGTGTTCATTTTCTTTTTGACTATATTTGGGTTTGTAAAAAGAGAAAAAGCGCTTAAAGCATTTATAAGTTTTGTTTTCGCGTTTTGAAAAATAATAGCCGTTGCATTATTTTTAGGAATCGGAAACAAAATTTGAAAGTGAAAAGAAGCTTACCATTCACCTGTAGAAAAAAAAAGTCATCACACAATTACTATTTTATCAAATAATAAAAACTTTAATAATTGATTTTTTTTTTTTTTAAATCGTACTTACCCTAAGCAAAGCAGTAAAGCCCGTAAGACACAGTGAGTTAGTGGGTGTGAAAGAATTAGAAAACAGAAACATTACATTTAAATTTTTGAAGAACAAAGTTAACTGGAAAGCATGGAGCTGGAAACAAGAAGTACGAGAAAAGAAACTGTTAGCATAGCACTTAAGAAGGTTATATCAAAAGCCAATTCAATTGTAAATTGATGAGACTTTGTTGCCAATCTAGGTCAATATGAGTCTCTACACTAGTCAACTGATTTTTTTTTTTTTTTTTTAAGCCTAAATTCTCATTCTCTTAAGTTTTGAAGTTTAATAATGATTAATTTTGTTAAAAAAATTAAAAAAACTTTATCCCACAACTGAGACCCCCCCCCGCAATGATTCAACATTAGAAAGAATGCTATACACCATTTCCAACCATGACAAAATCAGAACTTTTCCTCATACATCTAGTTACTTGGTTAAAGATTTTCACTGAGAGTCAATTCATATAGATCAGTGGTGCTTACATTTCCAGATCGCATTCCTCCCCTTGAGATCCCAGATTTCCCCAATTCCGTCTTTTTCAATTGTCATTTAGTAAATTTTTTGAGAAATGAGGTGGATCAAGAATTTTTCAGCACCCCCGTGTGTGTGTGTGTGTGTGCATATACACACAATGAGGAAAAATGTGCATTTGGAGTTCTTCCCTGATGAGCCAAATGCCTTCCATTAGAGAATTAAACCAATGCAAACATTCTCAAGAAGATAACCTTTAAAAAGATCATGAAAAATGAGTTTGTTTTTGTTTTTTGCATGTTCAAGTTCTTTGGAATTTTGATCTGCTCCCATTAATTTCAAGAAATTCAATAAACCATATAAGAAAAAATAAAATAAAATACTAAATGGACTGTGTCCAAAGAATGATTGAAATAATTGCATTTTAGAAATTTACTTCAATATTCCACATTGCTTGCCCTAGAGTATTTAAGAAGTACAACTTGCAAGCTATTTTCCTACAGATTGGGTATTTCATATTTGTTGCTCTGTATAAGTCTAAGCCAAGTTCACTAAATATAACATACACACATATATGTTCAGTGATTCCATCATGAATGTGTGTTGGTTGTACTCTTTAGAAAAATAAAGACTGAAACAAAAACCCCCACATATAAATTGTGCAAGGGGGGGGGGACATTTAAAGGAAACTAATTAAATCATTAAAATGTCTCTGAATGCATTTTAAAACTGAGATATTTTTTTCAAATGTTTCATGTTTGTTTTTCATGTTCCTCAAAATCAGGATATTTGTTCTTTGATTTCATTTCAGATTAATCACCAATTGGCATTGTGGTTCCTAGTCAGCTGATAATGACACAAATACGTAAGTTTATTTCTCTTAGTCTTTGTCATAAAATCTTATGCTTAACAATGAAATGTAAATGTTAAACTCAAAATTAGTAGTTGAGTTTGTCTTCTTATAGTGTTGCACACACAGAGCCTTGCCTGGGGTGTTAAGGTTTCAAGTTCATTAAGTATGCATGGATCTTCAAGACAGCGAGCAAACTAGATGTTCCATAGTTCATGATTGCCTTCATTAGCAGTTTGGATCAGCATCAGTGGCAATTACTGAAGGTTAATTCTACAGCGACCAACAGCTGTTCAGGGGTGATTTAGGCAGGACCAGAAGGACTAAGCATCACGGGAGCTTTCTGTACAGCTGAGAGAGAGAGATCTTGTGTTCCATGTTAGTAAGGTGGCTGCACTACAGGGATAGACACTAAAAATGGAAATTCGTATTAAGTTTTCCAAACAAAAATTGAACGGATTGAAGAAGTAAATAGAAAACCAATATGCTTTATCAACCAGAATGGTTATAAAAAAAGGACAAGACAAAATAAAACATTCTATTTTGCATCAAGTAATTAACATTAACAGAAATAAAACTCAATCTGTGTGCTATATATCCTTTCAGGATATGAGTGATTGTGGTCCCCCATAGCTACCCATATTTTGTTGCTCTCAACAATACTTTCTTTTATAAATTCCTTTCTTATGGTACTTGTTCCTACAACTATTCCTCTAATTTGTCAAGTAAATAACTGCTTTTTTTTCCTTGTTGTCTTACCTTCAATGCACTCTGTGAGTGTTAAATTCTCCAACCTCCTCTAAATTCACCACATGGACAGATGCTGACTAGGAGCAGATGCTGTTCAGTGGTTTGGTTGATTGTAAAAAGCTGTAGTTGAGATGAAAAAATAATTGTACATCTAGCAAAAGTCTATTTAAAATAGTATTTACTGTAGAGTCTTAAAAGTATTTCTTAAATGATGTGTACATTGATTTTTACAAAAAAATGTTTAATAAAATTACATGTTTTAACAATGAAAGGTAAATGTTAGCCTAAGAAACAAGTTTAGGTAAAAAAATAACTACATCTAGCCAAAAGCTGTTCAAAACAATATTTACCATTAAGAATCTTTTAAAAAATGCTGTTTCTTGAATTATATAATCACTGATTATTAAATTGAAATTAATCAAAATAGAAGAGCTTTGTTTTATCAAGTAATAAAACAAATTCCCTGATGATGTATTTACAAAGACACTCTGATTTAGTTCCTCTTAATAATTACATTTTTCAAGTTATTTTTAGAATTATTTGCAGTCTTCTCAAAATCATTAAATTTGTAAAATTAGTTATTTCACTATTTCTATATTTGGTATTAATTTTTATTGTTTATAGTTCCCTCGGTCTATCAAGAGCTTCCCAAAATGGCCTCTTCTGATTTGCCGGTAAGTTTTCCTAGTTACTTTTTTTGGGGGGGTGGGGGTCTGTGAAATAGTTAAAAAAGCTACTAGACAAATATTTTATTTATTTAGATTTTTTTCCATTTGAAAGATCTAAAATATATTTAACTGTCTTTATACTCGCATTTGCTTTAATTCCTAACCAAAAAATTATTTTTCTTGATTTTCATTACAGAACTTGCACATTGAATGCTGACAATTATTAAAGTAAATCTAAAGATCAAAACTTGCAAAATATGGTTCTTAAATATTAAATTCACTTTTTCAATGTTGATGTTATTATATTGGTTAATATTCAGTTATAAGCATTGCCTTTTTATTCCAAAACCAGCACTCAACAAGAATGAGGCTATTACAAATTCTTCTGTGAGAGAATCAAAATGTACCTTTTCTAATCTCTTGGTACACTGCCTGAAGTTAATATTCTACACAATAAAACATAAATACATATTAAATGATCAATTTTGTGAATTAATTATATTCAATCTGTTCACACTCTGGAATGTACTCTGGAAAATTTGGCATTGGCTCATTTCCTGTATTTTAATGACTGTTGTCAATATATTAGTAATTATTCCAATGAAAAAGTTTGACATGTTTACAAAATCTTACCTATGATATCACAAGTCACATGAGCATTTCAATGTTCCCTGTGGAATAATTAAAATAAATTGATTGTGGTAAACTTTTCCCTATCATGGTCCCACAAGGTCATGTTGTCAAAATTAAATATATTTTAAACTTAATGTCAAACTGTTATGTGAATTCCTTCGAGGAAGCATTCTCGTTATTAATATTTAACTATATTTTTATTTTGTTTCTTTTTCACAACACTTATTTTTTTTTTGTTTTATTTTCTACAATTGCAGTCGTAGAAAATAAAACATTTTGAGCATTATGAGAAAATAAGAAAGCTCTTCTTATTTTCATGATTTATGAGTATTTTAATTCAATTTTTTTCTTTGTAAAATTTGAGCAGATATTCTGATTGAAATTGAGAAATCTTAACTTCATGACTAAATCCTTTAACAATGCAGTTGCATGAAAATAGTTTTTTTTTTCGTTTTGTTTTTTTTTTAATCCTTGGGAATTTAGCAACCAAACTAGAAAAAAATCAAACTTTGAAAATTTGCTAATATTTTTATCACTACATATAACAGTAGGCAACATATGTGATTGAGTTATAAAACGTAAACAATTTTATCATAGATTTCTCCATTTTATCTTAAATTCAATTCTTTTCAGACAAAATCTGACCTGCAGGAAAATTTTTTAAGCTCCTTTTTAGCTAGAACATTGCCTGCTGGTTGCAAAGTTGTGGACATCACAGAAGGGGCACAAAAGTCAGTGGAAGGTTTTGACTTGAATAAAAAGAAAAAGTTTGAAAAAATGAAACTAACCAAGAAAACGCTGACTTCAAAAGAAAAAAAAAAGCTAAAAATATTTGAAATCAAACCAGAAGAACAGAAGTAAGTGAATTTTTCTATCCACTTAAATTGAAACGGCTTTCATTCTCCCAGATTTCACTGTTAAAATAAGCCTCACCAACTTTGAAGATAAAATCGTTGAACATTATTTCCAAATGTAAGAATGATTCCTTTAGTTATTAGCACAAGCCCAAATTGACTTCCATGCTTCCACAGTCGGGTTGAATTACCCATTTGCTTATAGAAGTCACCCATCTAAGTGCATTCTAATTAGATAAAACATTAACAGAAATAAAACAAATATACGTAAAAATAACCTAAATTGTGTATATTCTATGCTGAAGGTAGGGGAAATAAAGGGAAATAATTCTAGAATTTGTTTTAAACAGTTATTGACCTTGGAGTAACTCTGATTGGTAAGCATATGTTGCTTTTTCAGATGGACAGTCATGCCTCTCAACAATTTCCTCTCTTTTGTTACTTTAACTAACTTTTAACCCTTTACTATCCGTCTTTGTCCTTGGTCTGCCATTTGAAACAAAACTTGTTAACAGATGATAGGTGATGATAACTGAAGGTAATTTTACGCCATTCTATAGTAGATATAAAATTACATGCTTCTATCACTACTGAATAACTTGAGCTAGTCAAAGAGATGACTTAGTCAACGTGAGAAGCTATAAATGTACAAAGAAATAAACTGATTATTGCATACGTGGTAAATTTATAGGTTTTCATGAATAATCTGCAATAGATAAGGATTCTTAATGGATTCATAGATCTCTCTCTCTCACTCAATGATTAAGATATGTTACCATTTCAGACTTGAAGGACAAAAAAGAATGAAACCAGAATTTTAGAATAATTTTTGGAAACTCATATTAAATATTAGTGTAATTTTTTTTTTTTTTTTTACATACCATAATTTAACTAATAAAAGTAAATAGTTGAAAAAAATAAAAAAAGTAACACTGAACTTTATTTTGAAGTTTTATGCATAATTTCAACTCAGTTTGAAAGTGATTTTTATTCTCTGAAAATTATCTTTGAAACATGTCAAATTTATTCACAATCAAGCAATATTTCACTGAAATTTCAGAATGGTGTATTTCTATTAACTTGGTTTACAAAGAAACTTTTTAATAAATAAATGCCCAAAACTTTCCATAAATTTATATATATGGAATATAAATATCATACATGGGTATAAAAGATTATGTTACACCAATATTTGCAATGAAGCAGCTTTTCTTGATTTAAGAATCAGAATTCAAATCTTTGGTTTCTATGTGAGTTTTAATGTCAATCTCTGTTTCCCACTGGTGGGGAAATATACACCTATATCCACTAACAAGCAAATTATATGCCATTTTAGAATTGGTTTACCTCCATCAAAAAATGATGGAAATATTTGAATAATTTTGCAATTGTGTTGGCTGTATTTTTTTATATGAGCAATGAAGAATTTTTATCTAGAAATGAATTGTTATATGTAAGAGACAATTCTATTTAAGTCTTTAAAAATAAAAAATATTCAATGCTTCCTATTACCATAAGATCAAGCTGTGAACAATAAGTATGTAAAATCCCATTTTCTTTAATAAGATAAGAAAGGCTATATATGAAATTACCAAAATCAAATAAAATTTTTCTACCCTAACATTTCATCTACATTATTCTTTTTGCTTTGTTTTACAAGTTAAAAGTATATTATACATGAACGCTGAAATGTTTGTTTCACTTGTTTTAGCTTGATTGAGAGTAGATAACTCCTGTACCAAAAGCTTTTTAAAAACATTTCAAAATACACAGGCCATGCAATCCTAATTTACCAGATTTCGTTCCTCAGACTAAAAAGCTGTTTGTCTGTATTTCTGAGATGAGGTAATTGTAATTATTTACATTGTTCAGATTATTGTCCTCATCTTTCTTACCATATTCACAGCATTTCGGCCATTATACACTCTGGCCTTCTTCAGGTGATTGTAATTTAGAAGTGAAGCCTTTATTTCGTCCACCTGGGTAGATTGTTCTAGTTCCATATGCCATGCCTCTTCTGGATGTCTCTGTTAAAAAGAGATATCTGATACTGGGACATATGGAAGAGGCATGGACCGAGAACAAGCTAACCCGGTAGATGAAATACTGAGTTCAGTTTGAAATTCAGAGCATACAACAGCTGAAACATCGTGAATATGGCAACAAAGATGAGGACAACAGTCTGAACAATGTAAATAAAAATCTGTTGCATAAAAACATATCACTATCTAAAATTAGCAATATTAAATAAGAACTAGATGAGATATCTCTGGAATTGGTCAGCAGAATGAGAACCATCAACCTTGTAGATAAAATAAAGGGTTCAGTGTGAAATTCTCTGAATGTTATCCAAATTGACAAGCACTTGATGAAGGCCAGAGAGCACAACATCCAAAACATAGTGATAAAAACAACAAAGATGAGGACAATAATTTGCAATGAATAATGTAAACTCCTTATCCACAAATAGAAATTTCCACAGATTTTTGGAGGTTATTTTCTGTGAATTACCAGGATTTGTAAAATATAATTTTGGTCTCTCATTGCTTTCTTTTAGAGTTGTCTTCTCCTACACTTGTTGCCACCCAAGGCTAGAGAGCCCCATCTATCCTCATTATTAGATTCTTTATTGCATTCAATGGGACTTTTTTCCTCAAAAATTTGTGTCATTATTGTGATAGATGTTAATTAATTCATTGTCATAGGGCCAAGATATGGTAAGTGGACCAAACACACAAGTACCTCAGCATTATTGTCCTCAAGAGGTAAATTTCAATTCATCACTTTATCCAATTTTTCATAGCACCAGTCCTTATTCTTATGCAGCATTAGAAATAAAGAATAACCAAAAAGTTTCAAACTGTGTGACACTAAGCCGTCGGCCTATGGCCAACTCCCAGTCATGGCGCAAAGCTGTAAGGTTTCTTCTACCGGCATTTTGTGGTTGACTCTTTGTCGCTGCCACCAACCTGTGTCCCAGTTCATTGCCACTCGGCGAAATCCCCTGGTCAGGATACCAATATGTGACACTCAGCCGTCCAGGGTCGAATCCAGTGGTCAAGGCTCCAACATGTAGCACTAGGGTCGAATTCTGGTCGTTGATGTTAACGGCTTCACCAGCTGTACCAGTTCAATGCCAACTCTATCGTTCCCCGCTCACTTGCAATGCCTGGTTACTGGAGTAACTGCTTCGATCTCAAGTCTAACCTACCCACATTGTGACTTTGATCTTAGGTATTTTTTTTTTTTTTTACATGTTACCACCACCCCACCAATTAATTTCATGAAATTTTAATTGCAAAATTTGTTTTCTTAGTTAAAAGTAGGATTCCTTGGAAAATATAAACCAATTTTTAATTTTTTAAAATTGCTACTTATTTTCCGATAATCTGTTCTGAATCGTTAAAAACATTTACAATAAAACTGACATTGTTTAATTAGAAAAACTTTTAATTGCTTTTATAAGGTTTATTAAGGGCACTATTGTCATAAGAAAAAATGTTTTTTTTTAATGAATAATGAATTTTTACAAGAATTGTTTTCATTTATTTTTTAAATTTCAATTATAATAATTTATAAAGTTTCAAATGAATTACTTTAATTGCATTAGGTGATATTATTAAGTGAAAGCTATATAAGCTTAATACAAATCATCACACACAAAATTTTTAAAGTAATTTTTATTTTTTTTTTAATAGTGTATAAATGTTCTGATTTTTGTATGCATAACCATAGATGACATTACCAGAAAATAAGAGCGAAGACTGACTAAAGTAAATTTAAAATCAACATTCCTAAAATTAGATTACAGAGAATATTTTCCAATATTTTTCAGATTACTTAAAAATTATATAAAAAAGGTACTTGTGTCATTTTATACACACATTTACATGCATACATCCTTGATAAACTTAACTACACAATCTTATCAAATCTGTTTTATTTTTTATTTATTTTTCAATTAGATTTTTATGCTCAAATTTTCAGACATGCCAATGCAGATTGAAATCAATCTCATTATTGAAAATGCTTCTGATTAGTACACAGTATGAGGTTCATAAGTACAATGCCACTTTGAAATCACTTTAAATTAGTCCATCCAACTAAAAAAAAAATAGCAGAGACTATAATAGACTATATTAATACCAGATGTTTATTTTTCTTTAAAAACCTGTAATTAATGTAGGATTTTTTATTTTAATTTTTATAATTAATGTTAGATTTTATGTTGAACATTAATGGTTTAAAGTCAATCAAGAATTGATTGAATGTAACAAAAACACTCCAGGGATTCATTGTTATAGAAATGTAAAAACTTTGGTTCATTCAAATTTGCTTTCAAAGTGAAGGAGCGATTGTAATCACTCTGGAAAAAGAAGTTTCCAGAAAGTGTTCAAACGAGATAAGCTTTTCAATACAAGTGCTGAAAATTTAATTGAAATCAGTTAATTCCCTGAATTTTAGTAATATTTGAAAATTTGGGGTAGCTTGTATATGAACCATATATACTCGCATATCATGTGACTTTTAAAGTTAATTTTAAGGGGGGTCACATCATACATGAGATATAAAATTAGCATATGTACTGCTGGCCCTGTACTATGCCATTGACCAAACTCTATATCCATTTATTGTTGTCAAATTAGCTTCAAAATTTGCATGATATGCAAGTATATACGGTACATACTTTGAAGAGGCTAATCTTGCAACTATTTTTTCATCATAATTATTTTCATTACATGCATAAATTTTGTTTTAATCCATTACATTTGTTTTGCACATTATGAATATATGACATTATGAATAGCAAATATTTCAGATAATTTGTTTTTAGTATAGATTTAGGATTTTTTTATTTTTTTTACATTTAAAAAAAAATACAAATAAAAAACATCTTACCAGATTTCAAAATCCACAGGGGCTGAGAAATACCTTAAATATTTTTTTGTTCAATCAAAAACACTGCTAGGAACTTTAACTCAAACTCTTGTTTAGTGCACCAT